TTTATTTTATAATACAATATAATTGAATTAATAAATATATTTATTGATAGATGAACTAATTTCTAATATTAATTATGTAAAGAAAACATTTGAATAAAAAAAAACTAATCAATTAAGCTTATAATAAAAGAAAAACAAAAATCATCTTATATATAAAATATTAAAAAAATTACTAAAATTACTTTTTAACTTCTTATAATGAATATTAATATAAAATATAAAAAATTATAATTTATAAAAAATAAAATTTAATTTACATATTAAATATATAATATTAATTATTATAAATTTTATATATCATTTTACTTCCATAATAAAAAATTTTCACCCATTGTCAAACATTATCAAAGTCTTTTGTTTTATATTGAAAGCCTTTTCGTTTATTTTCTCGTCTTTAAAAAAAAAAAACCAAAATAATAAAAAAGAAGGTATTGAATGATTCGAATCCAATGTTTGAAAAAAAAAAAGAAAAAGAGTTGATAGGGTCATGGTGTTCCAGCAGTTTTGATCGTTTTAGAATTTGTCAGCAGCTATGCAAATATCAGTCAACTAGTACACATGCCGGTGCAAGGCTGTCTCCGAATTTAAAAAAAAAAAAAAATTCTCTGTAACATGAAATTCATATAGGACAAAATTTAGGTTGATATTATATCAAAAGATCACATAATTATTTATTTAAAATTTTAATAAAAATTATTAAATTTTTTTTTAAGTTTTAATTTTAACAGTTTTAATTAGCAGAAGCATATTATTCAATTTTCAAAGTAAACCTGCCGTATTTTGTAAAATTTTACGAGTTTAAACTACCTTGATTTTATTTTAAAAAAAAGGGAAATTACAACAAATCACGTCTTATTCTTGACCTAGTCTTGTATTCGAGGAATCAAGAATCAAGGACGCAGTGGCATTTGGCAATTTCTTGTAAAATTAAAATTTTCCTCTAGCTAAATATTCGATATTGGAACAACAAGTAGCTTTAGTTTATGTAATTATCATGTCGGCCAAACAGTGAAAATCCTAGGGGAATTTAAAATATATCTATAACGAAACTTATCGTCGGAGACAAAACCAGGGGAGCTGGCAGGGCCTTGCCGGCTGCCCCGGGCTTTGGAAATCTGTTAAGTATATTATCTTTTGTCAAATAAAAAGGATAAAATTAGATTCCCCCCTCAAAAAAAAAAAGTTTATAATTTGGCCCTCCTACAAAAGCTTACAATTGATACGGTAAATTTTTGTAATTTATTTAACTCTTTTACTTCTAGACTTGATTAAGTACTATTTTGGTTTCTTGGTTTTGACTCTAATTAACGTTATTTATTGTACTTGATTTTAACTTCCTAAATTAAGAATTTACCGTTTTATTACTAAATAAGTATTTTGATAATTAAATATTTCTTTTTACACTAAGAACAAAAATATAATTTGGCCTTGCAACTTTACTTTTAATTTTTAAAAATATTCTTCTTTTATTTTTCATCATCTTTTAATTTCTCAAGATAAATATATAGTACATTTTTATTTCATTTGAGTTTAAAATATTCGTTTTATATGTTCTTTTTTTTTTTATTCGGCTGCAAAAAATCCCTGATTCATCCCTGTGTCATTGGATTGGGATAATAAATTAAAAAAAATATATCTAGATTTTGGTTTTAGATGATGAAAGGTTGTGACGTCATGGTCGTAGAAATTTTCCAATTGCTCACGTTTGGTAGTGCAGTCCGCGTCTATATATTAATGACGTGTAATTATTTTCTAATATGATTTATCTTATACTTTTTTTTTTCTCAATTTTGGAGTTTGGATACTGTTTGTTTTGTTTGTCAACTATATCTTCCATTGATTTTCTTTTCCCCACTTTTCCGTTTCAATCGAAGCCCAAATTTGACAATTTGCCCATGCTTTTGAGTTGTTCTTGTGTTTCACGCGGACGTGACGTAACAGATTATTATTTTCAAAAGCATCATTTTACTTTTGACTAAAAAAAAAGTTATTTCATTCTCTCAATGAAATTTTTTAAATTTTATAAATAAAATTAGTAAAGAGATACGAATTTTATAATATATTTTAAAAATTTTAAAAATATATATAAAAATATAAAAATTTTTAATATCATTTATAAAATTAAAAAATTACATTATTATCTATCAAATACTAATTCTTAAATAAAATATTTAATAATATTTGTACTTTTCTAAAATTTTCAAATAAACCTTTAAATTTATATTTGTTTAACTGAGTTTTTATGTGGATGAAAAAAAATATTTTTATCGGATCAGTATTTGCATTATCTCTCTCACTCTAATATCTCTGTGACACGTACATGGCAAAAAATTTTTATAAATGTTAATGCTATGTAAGCCTCCGGAATTATTAATTGTATATATATATAATTTGAGATAATGCTTTTTGTAATAAACAACTGTTTTTTTTATAAAATTCTATTGCTTTTTGTAAAATTATTACAAACTTATTAAGTATATACATATAAATATTATAGAAGTTAAGTTATTAAGTAAAACGATGGTTCAAAAAACTCTCGTACATTTTTTAAAATTATTGAGTAACATATAAATGTTAATTGTATTTATGTGCATATTTTTAAAATTTTACTTTTAAATTTTCATGTCAAATTAAAACTTGAATTCGAATTCAAGTTTTTAAGCTTCTTACATATGTAAATTAATAGTAATAAATTCTAATTAATTGAGTTGATATCGAGATAAAAATATCATTTCAACCACGTTCCAATCTCAATTTTATTTTATTAATTATTTGTATCGACTCTACTAAGTCTCGTGATATTTTATCGTGAAATGTGAAGCAGCAGATAAAACACTGTAATCTTAGTTAAGCTTCAAACGCATGATGGTGGGAGAACATATTTTATATAATTGTTGTATATAATTAATTAATAATAATTAAAATTATACGATATTTATTAAAATTTTATAAAAAATTTATTTTTTATATAAATTTGTATTATAATTAAGTAATTATAAAAATTATAGATAAAACGCATCCGGGGCTGATGCCTGACGAGAGACCGAGCAGAACGGAAGCATAAAATAAGTTAAAAAGGAAAGTTAATAAGTTAGAAAAAGGTCTATTTTTATGGCATCATGGCAACGTTATCAGTTGGGGAAGGTCCATGGCGGAGTGATATTTAGCTGACGTGGTCAGACAAACAGATATGGCTTTGGAAATTTTGGACGTAGCAACGACAAAAAGTTAAGAATTCCTCTTCTTTGCCACGTGGGCGGCCTGACGTGACATCACGGAACACGTTTGGTGATGTATGGTAATGGTAAGGCACCGTCCGCCAGCACCCTTTCTTTTCTCTGCCAATGCTCATTGACAATGAACAGTTGAGCCATTGGAGGCGTGTGGGTCACATTAATTATCCACCAATATTTATATATATATATATATGTATGTATTGGTTTCAAATTTTCTAGATTTACTACTTGTTATATGATTTACTTTTGTCATTCAAATATCATGAGATGGGTAGTTGAATGTCCTACAAGATTTAACATTTATGTGTGAAAATTTTTTTGCGACATTTAAATGCTTTTACTGAAAATTTAAAATTCTTGTTCTCTGATCGTGGTGTTTTCCTTCAAAGTGATAATTTTTCACCTTAAGTAATGATTTTTTCATAAAAAAAGATGCTTCAAACACTTATTGAGAGTGTCATATGCATGTTAGAGATAATTTTTTTTTTATAAGAACGTGATTTATTGGTTGAGGGAGAGATAATATTGGAGTATTTAAATTAATCCAAAAAAATTATGTTACTTATACGTTAAACTTAAACAATTAATGAATTTTGATTGGTTAAAATCCACTTGAAACTATATAAGTTTAGTACAAAATCAACAATTATAGATAACATAATGATTAAAATAAAATGATAAAAGTAAACGCCAACATGTTGCACTATTTTCTTATGACTGGCAATATATTTTGTAGTTGTGGACCGTCAACATTTGCAAATCATGGCGTATGCTTAAGCCCACAAAGCATCCGATTTTTCTTATCAACAAGGTACCGCATGCGTACATCCCTTTCTTTAATTTTGGTGGACGTCATGTCATACTGTCCAAAAAATAAAAATAAAAATAAAAATATTTTATATATTTTTAATATAATTGATTTAATTAAAATTTTAATAAAAATTAAATTAATAAATTGATAAAATTTAATGAAAAATTAATAATATAAAGAATTGTTAATAGTATTATTTATAATTTAAATTTGATTAATATTTATTGAGTTATCAAAATTTTTACTAAATAATTATCTAAAAATATATCAAAATTATTAAATTTTTTCAAAAATTTCTCATTTAATTTATGTAATAAAAATTATCAAAATTTTTATTTTTAATAATAATTTTATTTAATATTAAAGTTTATATTTGATGTATTATTAATATATAAATTTTATATACTTTAATTATTATCAGTGAATCAAATGATAATAACTCATTAATAAAAAAAATTAATTATAATATCTTATTAATAAGTATATTATTTTAATTTATATATATTTATTTTAAAAATTAATATTTATTTATTAATTTATTGATAATATATATTTATTAAAAAATTTCAAAAACTTTTTAAAAGTAACTTTAATCTGAATCTTATCTACTGACAGCATACCATACTCGTTTTAATATTATCTTCTTTCCTTATTAAAAGTCCGGCTTTCAACAACTAATTGGAGTATTGGACCAAGAAAAATTTTAAAAATCTTTATTTATGCATTGGATTTAGAGAAAAAAAAAAGTGGAAGCAACTGGCTAAATTATATATACAAACATACAATAAATTAATGAAAACGTTTCTCGGACATGGCCGAACACGCCTTGCACAACAAAACAAAAACAGTGACACCAAATGAACGTCAGCCATTAACATATACACAGTCACAGCCGCGTAACGAAAATGGCTAAATGCCGTTGACGCCTGACCCCTTCAAAATCTCAACTCACCTCCCCTTCTTTGTTGTCCTCTACCCGTACTCGCTTATATATTCTCTTTTACATTTCCCATTAACACTCGCTCACATATTTCATGTCCGGCTAGCTAGCTAGCTCTTTGCTAGATTTTTTTCGGCATATAAGTGATTTTCAGCATGCAACAAGCAATTCCATACAAATCATGGCCTCTGCCATGCGTCAACACAACTTCCCGTCATGCCCCATCAACAGTTGGCCATAATAATCTCGCACCAAGCAGAGGAGGAAGCAGCAAAGACATGCTTAATATTGTGTCAGAGAACGCTGTCATTGTGTTCTCCAGGAAGGGTTGCTGTATGAGCCATGTTGTGAGGCGTTTGCTGCTGGCGCTGGGTGTAAACCCTGCAGTTTATGAGATTGATGAGAAGGACGAGATTGGTGTTTTGAATGAACTGGGGATGATTTGTAAAGGGCATGGAGATGATAAACTGCTGCAGCTTCCGGCTGTGTTTATTGGTGGGAGGTTATTTGGAGGATTGGATAAACTTATGGCTACTCATATTAGTGGAGAGTTGGTTCCTGTTTTGAAAGATGCCGGGGCCTTGTGGCTTTGATAGATCTGCAGTTTTATGAGTTTTTTTTTTCTTTATATAGATTTGGTTGGATAATTCTTGACTCTAAAGAGCATGTTAGCCAGAAAATGGAAGATCAAATTTTTTGGTTTTTGACTTAACCCAATTGGGAATGTATCTTTGTAATAGAGAAATACAAGTCAAGATAGTAGATCTTATATCTCTTCTTAGTTCTTCCTCGTATGTTGAAATGAGGTTGTTGATTCGATTAGAATGATTCTTAACGAATTGGATGATTTGAGCTAAGTTCTTTCTTTCTGGGATAACATCTTGTCTTTTCTTGGAAATTGATATTCATAATTCGTAACAGCTGTTTCCAGGAGGCTTCCGGGCTTGTTCAATGAAATTTTCTATGTTAAACATTTTTTTTTTGTTCGGATCAGTGTTAAAATATTTGTTGTGTCAGAGGAAGAGATGTTTGCTTCTTGCATCACATGGAGGTTAGTTATATCTCTCTATCTTGGTCTGACTAAACAACTACCGCTTATTGGGTTAGCAAGTGGGCAGATGTCGTGTGTACCTTATAATAGATTCAGAGGCTCCCCACGTAAATCCCAAATTATCTGAGGCATGATAAAGACAAGTGGCCATGAAATTGACAGGCGGGCGACATGGCAGGTGTCTCACACAGACAGTGAAACAAAATTCCGCAATGCAGAGCCATAGAAAAACGCCCAAGTTACGACCTTCCGCAGCAGTCCCAACAGACAAAGCCAGCAAACATTATCCGCATAAGAAGTTGGATTGATGGATTATATAATTCAGCTCCAGAATTGCAAAGCCATATTTGATCAGTAATTTATACTATCATTTTAGTTTACATGAGTGAGGTTTCTTAATTAACAAACCATTAAATCGTATCTAACCATGAATCAAAATCATTCAAGACTTTTGACTTTGAGGCAGATTGAGAAGATAAAGAGGATTGAATGTTATCGTCTGGAACAGCTTTCGCATCCTCATGCCGAGACAAACGATTTTGGTTTACCATTGTGGATGTTTCTGCTAATAAATCATCGAGAAAATCATCGACAGTGGAATTAACTGCCGCAGACTTGGACGAATCAACACCTTGGTTTACCATCGTGGATGTTTCTTGTAATAAATTATCAAGTACATCATCAAAACTGGAAGTGATGGCTGCAGATTTAGATGAATCGACACCTTTTCTTGCAACTTGTGGCAGAAATGGAGTACCTTCTCTATGGAAATCACTTGAGGGTTTTTCGGACTTTAAGCCAGAAGTATCAAGAAGTTTACTCTCACTGAAAGAATTAAGAAGCATATCCAATTCTGCCTCTGCAGTTGCCGCTTCAAACGTTGAATCTCTTTTGTCAGAGACAGAAGCAGAATTTGAATTGTCCTCTGCTCTACTTTCACCGGATTTGCCATGTTGACTGGAAATAAAATCACTGTAAACTTCATCCACCAAATCCAACCCTCCATTAGACAATGTTGCATCTATAGCCTGGCTGCCAGAGCCAAGTGATATATGCTCAACATTCTTAGCGGCAAATAGAGTTAGATCTTCAGTTATCGTTGCATATGCTTTTCCCTCAGATGTCATTTGCATTTGCTCAGATTCCTGACTGCTGTTTACCTTAGATCTCTCTGCATGCTGAAATATAAACCAGAGAAACAAGATAATGTGTTGATAGATACTCAAGTGTAAGTTATAAACATTTTTGTAGACACAAAAACTAATGTCGTGCTATTATGACTGGCCAGTTTGAGGAACCTAATATGCCGCCACCAACAATAAACTAAGCCTTATATCCCACAATTCCGTGGTCGGTTGTATGAAAGGCCAAAATGGAACCAATAACGTATATGGTCAAATTAATAAAAAAATTGGAACCAAAAGCGCAATACAAATAAAAATCTATTAGAATTTGGCAAACCCACTACGTGTGTGAAAAAAAAAATACTAGTTTTTTTTTTACAAAAATTTGATTTAGAAGAAATAATACATGGAAAAGTGGGTAATTTTTGTTTGTAGGTAAAAAGGTGGGTAGTTACTTTTTATTCAAGTGTCACTTGACTCGTGACATCAACTTAGTCAAGGGTTCTAGTATTAGATATATGAAAGCATAAAAACCATAGAGAAAATGTAAGCTATATGCCAAGATTTTTGAGAAAGCTGTATCTCCCATTAGCTAACAATGACCTTCAACTCCAATCATCTCTCAAGGCTTCCCAAGAATGATCTCTATGGGTTGTCGGTGAAACTCATGGTTTAACTGTCAAGGCCCATGCTTTTTACCTTCAGTGAGTGTCAAGAATTGAAGCTCCTCACTTTTAAGGCACTAAAGTATTGTTATAAACCCACAGTAACTTGAATATAAATGTAGGGTATTTTGGACTTACCTGTTTTGGTTGTAATAGATCTTCTTCAATGAAGAGCCTCTCAGGTAAATCTACCTTTTCAAGTTGTTCAGCAAGAGCATGCAAATTCAGGGAGAGAAATGATGCCTACAAGAGAAAACACAGGGAAAAAAGAGGCGGAAAGATGATAAAATGGCAAGGTAACCGATGGAAGGTTAAAAACAGGTGGCTGGCAGCAATAACTAGATCAAGTAAATGGCCCAAGGACAAATGAGTAGCACCAGTTTCATACCCCTCTTAATGATTGCATATAAACAGTGTATTTTAATTTTCAATTTTCTTAGTTTTGACGTATTAATAAAATCCTATGAATTGTGTCAATTTAAAAAAATTGCTCTAAACAAGATATCATCCTTTTCTAAACTATTGAAGGAAATTAAGATCAGAACTTATAAAGCAATCTTTCTCTTCAACCATTCCTCCCCCCTTTAACACAAGATACTTTTAACATAGACACTGATTATTGAAATATTATCCAGTGTGCACTAGTCAATTAGCAGAGGCAGTGCATATTTTGACTTCCAAATCAGAGTGACAATTTCTTTTCCCTAGCATCAAATAAGTACATGCATCAAACTGAAATTTTTTACACTTTTAGTCCCAACAAAACTGGGGAAAATACAGATTTGTCCACATTTAAATATGCTCAGTGATGATGCAAAGACAAGATTGTAATTAAGATACCCACAAAAACTTTGCAAAATAAAGCCCAAAAAAAAAAAAAATTGCTTTGTCTTCTGCCAACAAGTAACATAATAGAAAGCTGTAAGATTTTCATTACTAAATTTTGTAATTTGATGCATTGTGAATCCAATCTATTACATGAGCCCTAATATTCCAAGTTACTTTTGCATATTGAACCTGTCTCCAAGATTAGATGTTGAGGTTAACAACAATAAATAGCAATTCACTAGCATCAGATTGCTAGATACATATTCTGCTAGTATTCTTAGGGAGATGGCAATGCAAATGTGTGGGTGTGTGTGTGTTTGCAGGCATTTGTGCATGTGCATGCACATGAGAGAGAGAGAGAGAGAGAGAGAGAGAGAAGAGATGCTTGCTCATATCATAATGTGAAAGACAAAACAAGAACATAGATGTACATATCCAGTAAACATCAAACAATGTGTTTATGGACTTGAGAATTAGCGACTCAATCTGGTTCTTTAGGATTATAATTTCTTGCTCAGTGTATATGTAAAAAACAAATAAAAGAAAAGAAATTACCTCAGGAGTTGCAGTTAATCTGTCTTCCACAACAAAATTATCATTCCCAACCCATGAAAGAACACCCTCTCCCCTGACTGCAAGCATAGAGCCTAAAAACTGATTGAAGTCTCCTGGAAGGTTACCAATACATAAATTTCCATCAAGAATTTCAAAACGACACCTGAAGCAATTTTCATTTTTAGAACAAAAGGAAGACCACAAAGATCACTCAATGAAAGGTTTATAACTAGTCATAACGACTGGTAACAATGTCATGATTGTTGTCAGAAGAAAATAAATATAACTTCCAAAATTTTTTTCTCTCTTTTTGTCATTCTATTCAAAATAGATACTTAGTTAACTTTTCCAACTTGTTACCCCCTCTTCTTCTCACATTGAGTAAAGATCTGCTTATTTCTAAAAATAAAACCACCATAAAATATAACATGTTATTTTATTACCTTTTTATAAATACACCAAATAAGAGGGGGCGGGGGGGGGGGAACAAATTTAATAAAATTGAAACAGAAAATTTTACATATTAAACCACATAAGAAAAGAGAAAAGTACCGGGCAGAACATCATCTAAAGAGGATAGACTATCTGAATAAGGATTTGAGTGCAACCGAGATTGAGCCTCCGCAATTAGGTGGCGAAAGTCAGCCCCTTTACTCTTAGGCACAACAATATCGGGAGCTTGACTTGCACTATCACCAGATGGATCTTCAGAACCTGAATAAAAGTCTTCCTTATAGCGATCCCAATTCAAAGGTAGTGCAGATCCACGCTGACCCTGATGGGTTTCCTCTCTAATTTGCTTTCCTGTCAGCCTTTTGGCACTTGCGGCATCATTAGCACCAGCTGATGGAGGTTTTGGTTTTTGACTCGAATGAGTCTTTTTACTATGGTGTTGAGAATGAGCTCTCTTTGATTTTGCCAATGCCTTGGCATCCATCACAGATACACACACTGTTGAAACAGATTGAACTCACCGCCCTCTCACAATGTATCAAAATAACCAACACTATCAACAGGCGAATGATAACTCATTAGAATAAAATCTTCTGTTACAACTTACAATTAGACTTTATCAAGTCTTCATAACATTTAAAATTTATAAATGATTAAATTATTATAAATTTCATTACTACCTGCACTTGGACCTAAATTTGGCACAAGTTGAATAAAAAGGAAAAAAAAAGAATTTCTTACAAACTAATGATGAAAAAATGTCCCCAATAGAACTTATTAAACCTAGTTTCTTTCTTTCTTATTTTTTTTTGGATATAATCTGCTACAAAGAATTCTGTACAACAACTAACAAACACTATACAACAAGTAGAAGCATATATAACGTGAACAAAAATTTACGAAACACAAACAATATTAAAATTATAAATAATAATTGCTTGAGCACTAAAAGCTAAAAACATAGTAGAGGAAAAATAAAATTTTAAAAGAAAAAACGAATTGCGAATAATTTATAACCAAGCAGAAGCGGAAGAATCTTAATTACAAATTAAAAGAGCAATGGAAGGGATTAGGGTTCTTACGTTGATTAGATTTGTGTGAAATAAGCAAAATCGATTCGGTTACAGTCAACGGAACTTTGTGAAGAGAAAATGGGGAGGACAGATTTTGGGCTCTGAATGTCACCCTTTTCAACCAGTTTTCTTCTGTATGTGAAAGAAAAGAACGGACCTCCATCCTCTCTGAAGCGGCCCAAACAAAATATGGGGCGCTGACCCATTGGTGGTTTTTCCCTTTGTCAGAATAGGCCTACCTGACCCAATTCTTGGTCCATTTTTGGTTGTTGCAAAGTTAACAATACCAGGCTTTAGGATCGAAACTTGGCGGGTTTGTACTAGTTCGGACTGCGATCTAATTTTTAATAATTTTATTTGATTTTGGCTCGATTCAATGTTAGGTTGTTATTTTTTATGTGCTATCTCGATTCAACATATATATATATATATATATAAATAAATTGCATCTCGTTTGAATTGATCCAAAAAATTAATTTAATAAATTTAATTTAGTATAATATTTATAAAAATATTATTTTAATATAAAATATATTTTAATTATATATAAATGTAATATTTTTTATTAAGTTAATCTCTTAAATTAATATATTGAATAATAATTTTATTAATATAATATATATAAATATAAAATAAATAAAATAATAAAATATATTTTTTATTATACTCGGATTGGGATGAAGTATCCTAAACCAGTCTTCCACCTGATCCTTTTTTTTTTTTTTAAGTTCTGTTCCTATTGGATTGGAAAAGATTAAAATCCATATATATAAATTGTTTTGCTATCCTCAGATAGGAGAGAGGTTTCCTAATTATGAAACATTCTTTCTTTTGAAATTTCTGAAACATCTTTTATTTTTTAGAAATAATAAGAAGGAAATAACAAAATATGATTATATTCTTTTAGCACATATTAAGATATGCAAAATAAATTTTAGAAATAAAAATCATTTAAATAGAAATATTTTGTTCGCTAGCAACATACTATTTTTTATATGAAAATTTTCTTTATAGTTTTTCATATACAGAAAGTGAAAGAAAATCGTTTGCCTTAGCTTTTTATTTATTCTTTCTTTTAAGTTTTAACCGAAGTGAAGCAAAATTGAGCCACGTTATTGGATTTGTGACTTTGTAGGCTAAATAACAAATTTGCATGAGACTTATTAAATCGAATTAAGAAGATATATTTCATTATGGTAAAATCTTGGATTATGAGTGTCATAACATTTAGATCTAGGGATCCATCGTTAGATATTGATTTAAGGAATCGTCACCAATCTTTTTTATCTAGGTGTGATTGGTCACTTAAATAATCTATCTTTTCAAGGAACACCTAAACCTAAGGGTCCCTAAAAGAATAGGTTCAGGTCTACTAACTAAAAAAGGTTCGGGAGTACGGTTACGTGTGAGGAAGGTTATAGTACCCTCATAACTCCCATCGAAAGATGGTACCAGTTTAATTTTATGTTATCCAATAAGCCTTAAAAATTTATCAAGTAATTAATTATTAAAAATTATTCTCAATTGACTCTAATACTTTTAGCAAAAAATTGAAAAAATTTCTTTACCTCAAAAGTATGTAAGGAAACTATTATTTCACTTGTAAAGGTTGTATCGTTGGATTATTTAACATTAAAAAAAATGAAAAAAAAAAGAAAAAAAAAAGAATAATGATTTAGCTTTAGACATAAATCATTTTCTCTTCAAAAACTCATTGCTTTTGTATAAGAAAAATTGATACTTTCAACTTTTTTTTAAAATGTTTTTTTTTAAGAAAAATTGGTACTTCTAATTTTTTCCTAAAATATTTTTTTGAAACTTTAATTTCGAGGAAAATTGATACTTTCAATTTTCCTCAAACATATTTTTTAGAAAATTATTTTCAAGGAAAATTAATACTTTTAACTTTTTCTCAAAAATATTTTTTTAGAATTTTATTTTAAGAAAATCATTTAAAAAAATAAAATAAAATATAAATAAAAATAAAATAAAGAATACCAAATTATTATAATCTAATCAATAAGTAATAATAATAATAATAATAATAATAATAATAATAATAATAATAATAATAAATAATAATAATAATAAATAAGAAAAAAAAATCTTTTGAACGACTTTGCTCGGCTTAATGCTGTTCGACTCCGAGAAGAATGATTGCTCGGATGTGCGGCTCGACAGGAAAACAACTCAGCTCGGCTTTTACCCAGACGGAGAAGCGGGTCGTTGGATCAGGTGCGCTACAGGTTGGGTAGGATCTTGACAAAACACGCGAATTCTGTGAGTTTACTAACGCAAAAACAACGTCATTTTGATGAAGGTATATAAGGTTAAAACTCGATTTTTCTTCAGATTTTCCTACTCCTTTGCTCTTTCTTCCCTTCTTTTCTCCTCATTCTCTCTAAACAATCCCAGATTCTGATTGAATGTTCTACCGAAATCTGAAAAAATACGCTAGAAACTTCAAAGTTGACCGAAAAAATCTTCGAAAAATTCAAAGTTCGCCAAAAAATTTAGTCAGATTTTGAATAATTTCCAGAAATTTTTCAAAAAAAACTTCAAAAAATTTGAAAAATTTTTTAAAAAAATTTTAAACACAATCTTGCTTCTGTTTCCTCTCTCTGTTGTGTTTTTCATGTCCTATAGGTTCTGTTTTAATACCTATTTATAGGGATTGATCAGAAGAATTTTTGATCAATCCTATTCCCTCTGGGATTTGGATTCAATCTTTGAATTTAATCCCACCTCTGTCAGCCTTCAAATTCACAGTAGAATACGCTTTAATTTTTTTGATCCTAATTTCAGTCGAAAATCAATCAAGATAAAATAAAAAAATATATTAATAATTAATAGATAAATAATAAAAAATATATTAATAAATAATAATAAATAAAATAAAATAAAAATACAAAATGGGCTTACCCATTTAGATCAGGCTGGACCAAATTGAGTGTCTATAATAAGTTTCATATTTTCCGAAGAAATTGGAATATAATAGTGGCAAATATTGACCAAAAACTCTTCCAAGCAAAATTAAGGAACGCACTTCATGGTTTTTATTGTACAATGGAAACTATAGTTTGTAGGAATTACAGTTGAAGGGAAAAACAACTTGGAACATTAGTTATGGCCCAAGGGACTGACATATATGTTTTCCTTTTGCCATTGGTTGCATGGAAAAGTCACTTTTTTTTTTCCTTTTTCATTTACTTAAGAGAGTATTGCATTTGAATTATTAATATATATATATATATAATAATGAATTATGTTGTATAAGCACTTAATTGGACAAGGTTTGAAAGTTGAAAGCCCTTTTGAAGTAGGTAGATTCTCATGTAAAATGTTTCCCACGCATTTTCCAACCTCCATTCCTCTAATCATTATATACATATGATTTTCTAATCGCTTGATATTTTCTTTTGGCCATTGCTTGCATGGGAAAGTCCTGTTAATCATTGCAAGCTTATATAATCTGTTTTTTTATTTTTTTTGCCCTCCTTTTTCCTGCGGTTAAACTTGAAACTTGAAAGAGAATAAACATTTCTTTCTTTTTTCTTTAGAAGAGAATAAACATTTCAGAAAATTTCATGGCATTGGTAGTGAAAGGGAGTGGCAGATGGGCCTCATTTTGAAATTTTCTTTAGCAAAGGGGGAGGCTTTGAATGAAACCTTGTCTTTTCCTTCCTCACTGTTATCTCAATTCCAAAACTCCAATCAATCAATGATTGTTGATAGCTAGCTAGATCAGTACAATCAGCAAACAAAAATATCTTCCCATATATTTCACACAGCATTTTCTTTTTTAATTTCCTTAGTGCAACTTTTAAGTGCATTTGATGGCGACCTTGTTTAATCAATTAATAGTTAATTTCCCAACTGCTTGTAATTTTATCTGTAATTTCATTATCAACATCAAATGGTAGTAATTATTTTGTTTAGGCATTATTTGCTCTCTCCCCCTCTTTCTCATTTTATATGGACTATGGTGCATGTATTAATATTTTATAAAAATCAAATGGATTGTCCCTACCTATTCTATTAAAAAGTTATGGTAGCTACCTATGCTTGAAGGACCTTTATGTGTGTGTGTGTGTGTGTGTGTGAGAGAGAGAGAGAGAGAGGTGCACTTTAATTTAGCTTGTCTTTCCAAAGCCAAAAGCAGAATCTCTGATCTTCTTATATGGCATTGCATGAGTACAATTATAATTTTGGTTTGATTCAGCAAATCTTTTAAATTTGGGTCTTAATTTTTCCATGTTTCTTTTCTCTTCTCAAGATGAATGCTATAGCCCTAAGTAGCTCCAATAAGAAGCAAACAAGATACAAGATACAATATATAATCTTTTCAACTCATCTAAATTAATATTATTCAAAAACTTCATGCAACTTATAAATAAGATAAAGCCATCATGAAGAAGCACTTTGATTAGCACTCAAAATTATTGTAGTTGTTTTATGTGGGTGTTTGTATCCTAAACGAAATGAAAAATATTGGTACGATATAATTAAGTATATATAGTTGCCATGCACAATCAACAAATTAAATGACAGCTAGCTGCTTGATTGTAAAGTATATATATAATTCCCTCATCCAACTACATTAATTCAACAATCTGTTTCGAAACATGCATAGGGGGAGTCCAAAAGAGAGCAGTGAAAGGATCATTCAAGGCAAGGTTGGGTTAAGGACATGGTCAATATTCTAAATAAAGCAAGGAAGAATCCATTAATATAGATATATCATCCAATTCCACTAGGTGACACATACATGCTTTGGTTTAGTCTTCATCATAATCATATATTTCTCTATAATCGGAAGGTTGAGTCCATAGACTAAACATTTGGCGTCTTCGATTCTGAATTGTTTCCATTGATCTTGCATCCGTAACTTTTATTACAACTATAGATAAGTTGTCCACCCTAGCTAGCTATCCGCATCTATAGTTAGATGCCAACGATGTATATTGCTGTACTTGATAGGTGAAAAACTTTTAAAAGATCATTAGAAGTCTAAGGAACAGTTTAATAAATGATAAAAAATATTTTTACTTGATGCATTATCAGTATATAACTCTCATATGCTATCATTGGACCAAATTCTACTTCCTCATTACTGAGTAAATTAATACGTTTTCAAGACTTAAAAAATAATATACATAAATTTTTAAGAGCTTAAATTTACAAAAACAATTACTAGAATTTCTCTTCAATTTTCTCTCTTCCGTATGTACTACTTAAAAGGATTTAGACCTTCTAATAATAATAATAATAAAAAAGGCCCCGTAATATAATAAAATTTGAAATCTCAAAAATCTTGCATTTTAAATTGGCAATGAAGCTTTTCAAGAAATATATTGATATGTCCGCTAGAAATATCCCATTAAATTTAGTTAGAACATTTAGGTAGCAATAGAGACAATAGAGAAAACTATATATTTTTAAAGTTATTATTATGAAAGACTGCGAAGAAAAGGTCTTAAATCTTAAAGTGCAAGGAAATATAAGGATAACTGATAACTATTGAGATTGGCAAGAGTTTCTGATCAGAAACTAATCAACAAATAAATTGGGATAATCCGAACATTTTGTGACTCTCTTGAACAATAGGTTGAACTTAATACAACAAAGAAATTGAGCCATCTGCTAATTAATTATATGGAACCCAATTAACCATCATCAACAAACAGAATGCACCAAACAAAGTTGTTTAGGGAGGATTAGGTCAGCGTATGAGTATATTAAACATAAACAATTTACAGTGGGAGTGAAGTTCAAAATGAGTCCTTGAAGGCCTTCTCTCTTTAATTTTCAACAACTGACAAAATAGTTGGCATTTGGCTTCCCAAAAGAACCAGAAAATCAAAGATGGTTATTTGAGAATAAATAGTTAAAAGTGAAAGAATATTATAAGGCTAATGTAATTAAATGACAATTTTTTCTTAAAAAAGAATGATTGAATTTATAATGTCGATTTTAACTATTAAAATTTTTTAACACCTTTTCATTTAAATTCTTCCATTAAGCAATTTTTTAAATGAATTGATATCAAACACATTGAAAAAATTAATTAATGATTAGGAATTTAGGATGATGTTATTTAACTTGTATTCATTTCTCATAGTTTTAATTATGACGGTAAGTAATTGTAATGCTACTATACTTTTGGTGTTTCATATGTAATTTAGTTTTTTGTACTTAATTTCTGCATCATACTCAAACTCCTAAGTTTTTTTTATTTGAAAATAAAAAATACGTAATCATTGAATCAAATCCATGTGTTTATTTTTCCACAAAGAATTAGGAAAATATATAATAAATAAAATTAATATACACAAATGGTTGAATATTTTGTCGAAAATATATAATAAATAAAATTAATATACACAAATGGTTGAATATTCGTGAAAATTATTGAATTGATGTAGACATTTTGTGGTTTCATAGATAAATAATTCTTTTATTTTTGTCAATATGACAAGATAGGGCCCTATTGTTTCAAATTAACATAGCATAAAGTACCGACCTCTAATATCGAAAAAGGATATTCATGTATTGCCTTTTATTGCCTGTTATAAAAAGTTTAGATTAAATGTAAGGGACACCATCTACGTTGTGCCATTTGTACCGCAAAATAATAAAAAAGTAAAGAGAAAAAGAAGAAATTACTAAATATATATAAAGATATATATATATAAAAAAAAAACTTGGTTTGGAAGAAAAGTTGTATATTCTCCTACTTTTTATAAGCCAACGCATGTGGCCTTGTGTAATGGATTCTTTGATCCAAATCTGCTTTCCTTTAGGGATGTATCCTATATATTTTTTTCATAAGTAAAAGGGAAATAATTAGCTTAGTTCTCCCTCCGAAAATTTCAATATTTACCTTTTTAAGATTACCCTAAAAAATTCAAGTTTATTTTAATAATTTAATAAAAATTTAGCTCAATTGATTCATTATCTTTAAACATAATATTTAATAAATTAAAAACTTCAAATATCAATATATATAATACATTTTTTTATTTTCAAACTACGATTTCCTTTATAAAAACTACTTTAATATATCAATCTCTTCAATTAAAGCACACAAACTCTTTTGACAAGATCAATAATTCCCTATTTTACAAAAGTGTTATCTTATCCAAATATTTGTGTACATAAGATGATGAGAACAAAAAAGGTAAAATTGGGTTGTCTAAATTTGAGGATCTGAATTCATATTAATTCAATCACATAGTATGATATATTTGCAATCACAAAATAACAAAAGTACTTTTGAAATTGATACCTTACCAAGTGCTTTAGGATAGCTAGGCGTTTGATATTTTCCCATATATAAAAATATATATAGTACTATATTTATCCTATGTTGCACCTAATTTGGACAATGTAGCAAGAATTTGTTTTTTTTTTGTTTTTTGGTTCATTTTAGGCTAAACGGAAGAGTTTTTTTTTTTTTTTTTTTCTTTGGATGATTAATTACAAGGTATTACATAATGCTGAACAGTTATTTCTTTTTGTGAAACATATATAATAACTAATGGTTGAGTAAGATTAATCATATCCATACCATATGCCTTGAATTTTGGAGATCACTATATTTTGCGATGATTTTTTGAATTGCGCAAACAATTATAAATCTGAACAACTAGTCATCGCCTAGCTATAAGCATACCATTCACTTTCAAAGTAAAAAAGACAAGTAGAGAAACAAACATGGCCTTGGTGACAACATTTTGCCTTTCCCCAAACTCTTCCATCCGTTTCAAAAACTGTCTATGTTTTCCAACTTGAACTGTATTTTAATGTCCATTTGTCAGGTTGGTTTTTTTTTTTTTTTTTTTTAACCCCAAACCGAGAGTTGTGGTGGGTGGGGTTTGATTTGAATATAGGAATCTCATAGACTCAAACCTTGAAAGTTGAAGCCTTTTAGGAGTGTTGGAGAAGGAGAGAATATTCTGGTGCCGCCACAGTTCAACAGCAAAACTCCAAAGCTTAAATACTAAACAAAGACAGAAAGCAAAACCATCATTAGATTATGATGAAGGGTTTAGCAGGAAAAGTCAGCCCACATGGAGACGGCTGCTCACACTTCCAAAAATTCACTGCCTTTGTCAGCTCTCTGTCTTTTAACCTCTTCCCTATCTTATTTTATAGGATTATTGTTAATCAGGCCATCCCAAAATTTCATTGCCTTTATCGAAAATATTAACCCTACATTCAACCCTTTTCTTTTCTAAATTACCATTACTACTACTATTTAGCTGATCAAATAATGCATGATCGGATAGGAAAGAGCAATTAAAACTAGCCCTGGTTTTTAAATATGGTACGCAAGATAATGCTTTCTTCATACTAAATAATATGCTTGCAAATTGCAATACATTCACTGATTCACAATCCCCAAAAATCTTATGCCATCCAATTGATGGATGCATCTTAAAGACCTGATTTGAAGCAGAAATCTGTACTAAAAGTAAAATCCATCAAATGAAAAAGCAAAGATATAGAGGACCAACAGAAAAGTGACAATAAAAAGTTGATAATCATCTACCATTCAAGAAAAAACCAACCAATCAGACTTTCCAAACAACCTCCTGTTCATATATATATGTAGAACTGGAAGCTATAAATTGAAATTCTATTTTCTCAGTATCACTGATCAATAATTGGAGTAACTGTTAAACTAAGCCAAGTGGGTAAACAAATCAGTCATCGGACGATTATTCCCTTTTGTGAGTTTGTTTCGTCGTTTCTCTTGGATTTTACCTTGTTGACAGTTGGTCACGTGCATGTCAGATTTTGTGAGAGAACCAAGTGATTATATAGCTGGTTTACAAACGAATGATTCAAGTCAAAGAAACTATGCGATATGGCCATATGAGATGAGTTACAGTCTAAAATTCCAGGCATGAATTTGGCATCGATCTTCTTTGGAAAATGCCTCCAACTTTCACTTTGTAGCTAGATTGAAGACTCAAAAGAGTTTTACTTTCGTGGAAAATGAGGAACAAGATAAAGTGTCATGACTAGTTTGGCATCTCTCTTTGCAAATGACACTCTTTAATTTTAAGACTATTCTGTCATTATTGTTAAATTCATCTTTTTGACAAAAACAGCACAAAATATTTTTTCCCTATTTGTATCATTGTTTTATGAAAATGCTTAAATAAGTCAGTGATAAGTGGACCATATACCAAACCAGCTCTCATTAGTTTTGGAATTTGATGATAAATAAAACTTTTTCACTATGCTTTGTCATTAACTTTAAGGGAAAATTTTAACCAATTGAAAGTACTAGCAGTTAAATGCCTTGCGGCTTCTTTCCGATCCATGTGATCAGATGCATAGTAATTCTCATAATGATTGATCCGTTATCTTTCTTTTTAATCTGGAAAGGAAAAGAATCCCTGCTACTTTCCACAAGTAAACTTTGCTTTAGCCTCAGAACCAAACCAACAGTAATTTCACTGGTTAAATGTGATTCACTACTACTTATAGACAAAGGATTCGATTCCTTCAACATTTCTTCAGCTGGTTTTTCAAATATTTGAAACTACGCAGATATATATATATATATATATATATACATATATATACATACATATATATATAATTCATTTTATTTGATATGGAAGTAGAATTAAAAATTGCAGATGGAAGGCAGCAGCAGAGATTAGAAAAATGGTAAAACGAAAAGCATAGAAATTATGAGATAATCATTCCAAATGGAAAAAGCATGGAGATTAGCTTTCTTCCAATCTCATCATGTGTGTCATCATGCACCTTTGGGTTTTTGCCCACCTCCCTCACTCTCTCTCTATCTTTCTTCAACCTCCTTCCTTACCTCCCAACTTTAACTTTTCACCGCCTCTCATAAAAAAAAATACTAGTTTTATATTCCACCTAAAAGCAAGTAATTATAATTTAAAATCACTGCACATTTTAAAGAGACAGAGAGAGAGAGAGGAAGACGAGATCCATTCCTTTGCATATATGAGCTTATGTTGTTAGGGTTGAGAAACCATAAAAACACGACTCAGTCTCTAGATTAATGAGTTACCCTTATTCACAACATTAATAAATAGTCCATTTTTGGTTACCTTATCTTAACTTTCTGGGTTTCTTTCATAGATATTGGAGTCAACAGATCAGAAGAGAGAAAGCTTTCAAATTACAACACGTTAGAGAAGATGACAGAAGAATCAATTTCAAATGGTTTTGTCCCAAATTCTATACCTGGATCAAATCCTCCTGTTGCAAAGAAGAAAAGAAACCTACCAGGAACACCAGGCAAGTACCTTCTCTTTCCTCAAAACTATATTCTCTGACAGCTTACATTTTCCTTCTATATCTACTTTCTCTGAGGATTCATTTATAATCATCTTCATCGGTATATGTATATATTCAAAGTTGTTCATCTTAATAACTAAATGTTTGTTTTCCACATATGACAATATGGGTTTTACCAGATCCTGAAGCTGAAGTTATAGCCTTGTCCCCAAAGACTCTGATGGCAACAAACAGATTCTTGTGTGAAATATGCGGTAAGGGTTTCCAAAGAGATCAAAACCTTCAACTTCATCGCCGAGGCCATAACCTTCCGTGGAAGCTGAAGCAAAGGACTACAAAAGAAGCTAGAAAACGAGTCTATGTGTGCCCTGAAAAGACCTGCGTGCATCACCATCCTTCAAGGGCTCTCGGGGACCTAACCGGCATAAAGAAACACTTTTGTCGGAAGCATGGAGAGAAGAAGTGGAAGTGTGAGAAGTGCTCAAAGCGATATGCTGTGCAGTCAGATTGGAAAGCACACTCAAAAACCTGCGGCACCAGGGAATACAAATGCGACTGTGGTACTGTATTTTCAAGGTAAAATCTATTGCAAAATTTACAAAAACTAATACTATTTTATTATGAAGAAAAACAAAATAAGAGGGTAGTAAAAGTGAATAGGGCATGAAAGTGATTTTTGTGATTCTGGTAATTTTGTCTGTGTGATAGACGATAAAGCATCGCTTTCTTCATGCAACAGTATTAATCAAAATCCCATAAAGACTAAAATCAACATAGAAACAATGAAATGAAGTTTGACTGACAGTGATTTTTTTTTTGGTTGTTATATCTTTGTCTGTGTGACAGGCTATAGATACACTTTCCTCTGAGGCCTCTTCGGTTAGCTCGGAGAGAAAAGAAAATTAAAACGATTTTTTTTCTTATTATCTTGAATTTGATGTGTTAACTCAATTAATTAATGTGAGTTTTCTCACTAATTACAATAAACCCTCTCCGAGAGTTGGAGGGCTCCTATCCCATTTATATAGTTTTCTGAGACATGCACTGTTTGCGAATTTTTTGTTGAGCAGAAGAGATAGCTTCATCACGCATAGGGCCTTCTGTGATGCCTTGGCCGAGGAAGCCGCCAGAGTAAATGCAGCTTCCAGCATGCACAGCTTGGCCCCCAGCAGTATCAGTTACCATCTTTTGGGGAATCCACTAGGGCCGGGCATGGCACAACATTTTTCCTCTATTTTCAAACCAATTTCAAGCAATGATGAAACAGTAGATCAAACTAGACGTGGACTTTCCTTATGGATGGGCCAAGCATCTCAAAGCCATGATTCAATTGCCAAAAGTCTCCAAGAGATTCATCAATTTGGTTCTGTGAATTCGGGATCAATATACAGTGATCCTCTAGTTTCAACTTCGAATCCTCTTGCATGTGATTATCAATTAAATTGGGTTTTTGGAAATAAGGTCTCATCCGGTAATGCTGAAGAGCTAACAAGCACTTCTCTTCCTTTGAACAATGTCAAGGAAAATGGACCTCAGCTTGTGAGTGTTCCTTCATTATTTAGCACCCAAAACCACTCTCATCAAACACCATCTGCAAATATGTCTGCCACTGCTTTATTGCAGAAAGCCGCCCAAATTGGTGCAACTTCTACTGACACATCATTCCTAGGAAGCTTCGGAACGAATTGTAGCAACAGCCAAATTCAAGATGGGAACAAGTATAGTGGTCTGTATGGTTCAAACACACCACCAACTACTCTTGGAAGTGATTTAGAAAATTCAGCAAATGATATTTCCACTTTGAATCAATTGCAAATGTACTCTGCAAAACGCCGGCACACGCAGAATGAAGATAGTACTGGCGGACAAACAAGAGATTTTTTGGGTGTCGGAGTACAGGCCATCTGTCGCCCGTCTTCAATCAATGGATGGATATGATACGGCATGGGAAATTTCAAGAGTTTGCATCTTTTTTTTTTTTTTTGATGGAAAGCTTGGCTGATAATAAAAGTGGAGCTGTATGTGGAGTCAGAGAGAAGGAAAGGGAGAGACACAATTTAGTATTTGGAGACTCTGCAGGGAAGAAAACGTGGCTTTGAGTGCTTGATGAGAGACTAGAAGTTTCCCTAAAGAACTATTGAAGGATGAAGGTTGAGATCCATGCACATTCTCTTGAACCTTTGAAAGCCGATCCCTTTAAAAATTGTGGCTTTTTAACTTTGATAAAAGGGGATGGAGTAGTGGGGGCAAAGCAAAAACCCCTTTCGAGCTCCATTATTGCATTGTTTCATCTCTATTGTGCTTGTTGGCCTGTCATACTAGAATCACAGACTATTTCCAGATGCATAAAATTAAGCTTGATTATTCTAGTACAAACAAGCTTTGAACTGTTTCTTAATATAATCTAATGTAGCTTTTCCCTCACCAAACCATGCATATATACCTGTGCCATAACAAAATTATCACTATAACATGCAAAAAATGGAGAGAAGCTCTTCTATGAAAGCTTCAATATTTTTTCCAGTAATACTCCAAACATTATCTATTTGTAGACGTTCTCAATTATACCCACTTCTTCCAATTTTTCATAGCAATTGTATAAATAGTTCTACTTCCTTAACAAGTAACAGCACAAAATACTACCGCTAACATTCGCAGAGACTGTTACTAGAGTGTAAAACTCTTAATTTCAACAACTATTGTTCAAATTCTTACAACCTCAAGTAAAAAAAAAAAAAAAAACTCTATACGACCAATCTGTTTCCCAAATCAAACCTAAGTGCTTGTATTATCTATCTAATAGAGGCCTACCGTTGATTGGGATGGAATAATATTTTGCTTTTGGAGATTAAATTAAGGCCATCCACTCAATACATTTCTTGAAATCCAATGGTATATGGGGTAAACCAACATCTGAAATGAAAATAAGGAATGACAACAAAAAAGAACATGCAAAGTCTCATGGGAAAAAAAAGTCTCATGATATAATGTGTCCCTTTTGCCGAATTGAGTGAATGGTAAAATTGCAAGGTTCGAGACACTATTTACAAGACTTTATAAGGTACACGCCACAAATTCAGGAAAAATTGAATGCACCAGCCAAATCTGAGTTTGGGACAGAGTCATAATCGTATATAGGTAAATTGTCAAGGGAAACGAAAAAAATTGTCATCAAGAGTGCACGATCCCTCGTGTTTGTGTCTGCCTCTTTTGCAGATGCCAAAAATACAATGGGGCCAGTCAGAAGTAAGACATGCAAAACAAGTAGACAATGGATAAGAGTTTTACTTTGTGGCTTATTTGATGCAACAATTGATAATATATATTGTGGCCCCCCTATGCATAGTTTGGCCTGTTTTACTTGCATATAGGATTTTTCACTGTAGTTTTCATAAAATTTTTTAAACAAGTTCAGTAAACATATGCATTTAAATCCTTATACATTTTTAATTTTTGAAAAAAAAAAAAACTCTTGAGATGGATTGGCAAGGGTTTCATATTTGATGCTCGGGTACTCTTTCAATGCGCTTATATGGGAAAGCAACAGACAACTAAAGCCATGAATTCTTGAACTTTTTTCATCCTTTTCTTTTTATTTTGTGTGAAGAATTCAATAATAATTATTTGGCTACGATTCATAGTGAACCAGCCTTAATACATAGGGAGCTAGTTCTCCCAAATCCCTTCTCCATGGTTTTGCTTGGTTGATTGAGAGAAGAAGGTCCTGGAATAATTGACCTACAAATGATTGAGATTGATTAAGTTCAATCCAGGTCCTTTGGATTCCCCAGAAACAGATAACGAGAAGGAAAAAGATCCTCTCTATATAAAAGTCTCACTTTCATGAGCTAACCACCTTTAGTCTCTTTTTCTCCTGTTCTCAATAAGAACCTTTGCATCCAATTAGAAAAAAGTATGAACCTTCATAATCAATCTGAGTCATAATTTTTGGGGTATTTCTTTTCCTTAAAAACCTCACCGTCAATATTCTTCCGTAGGCATAAAAAGCAAAAGAAATATAGTACTAACACGGTCTGATTTAACTAAGGTAACATAAAGCACCCTAATCCTCAAGTAATTTCTCTAAATTATTAGGTTCATTTTGAAGCTAAACTAATAAGTCAATGAAAAATTCCCAAGAAAGTATGTTCTGATCATAAGAAAAATCGTTAAAGGTCAAAAGTAGCAGCATATATTATCTTACTTCAAGGAATTATTCCCATTGACATGTCATTTTGTCTAGTCCAAACAGAATAAGTTAAGACTTGTGCCAGCTAGTTACCCGTTAATGAAGCAAGGCCAGCCAAATATGTACAATTTTAACTTGTTAACTTTGTCTGCTTCACAACAGAATCAGTTTAGTTCTTAATTAAATTTTATTGCCTTATGCGCCTAATATAAGCAAGCTGTGAACGTAATATGGAATACAGAGTTAGTTTTATTCACTAGGAGTAATTTTTTAACTCTATAAATAAATCAACTAATTTCCATTTAAAATAGTGGAAAACTTTTATTGTAAGTAATTAGTAAATTTAATAATAGTCAATTTTACTTATTTAATATATTAATTAAAAATTTATTTTTTTAAAGTCATAATTATTTTTATTATAAATTTTTATATTTTCTAACTGATATTTATGGTAACAAGTTCAAAAATAATTTATATATTTTTTAAAATTTTTATATAATATAATTTTTGCTTTCCTTTGTTAAGATTTTCATATATTAGTTTTATTTTCGAATTTAAAATTTTTTGCATAATTTATATCATAGAACTTAGTTTATCTATTAATAAATATATTTGTTAATTTAATAATTTAATTCTATGTTATTATGAAATAAATATGTATGACTATTTTGGTACTTTCAAACAAAATAATGTTTGATTTTTAGTAATACTAAAAAAATGATTTTTAATCCTTAAAAACTAATAATTTTTAACCAATAAAATGATTTCAAATTATGAGTGATAAGATCATCTTAGTAATAAGACCATATCAATAATGAAAATTATCATGGTAATCTTAAAAATAATATCAAATGCTACTAAAGGCTATGTGTTACCTTGTTTATGGAGTCAAAAAACCTCTATTGGCAGTGAATTAGATAATTTCTCTATACACTATATATATCATCTATTATCATAACGTGTAAGTCCCAAAACTTAACTAATAGACATAGCTAGAGTAAAAGTCACCAGTTTTATTTTATTTAAATGTGATTGATCACCTAATGAACTTATCATTTTAAAGATATCCAAAGTTTGACTAAGATTCTTAAAAGCATAGCTTATGTCTGCTTAGCAGAACTAGGTTCAGAAGTTCTATTACGTGTAGGAAAAGTTTTAGCATCCCAAAATGTCTATCTTAGGGATAGTATAAATAAATTCTAAATTAGTCGAAGATTATTTTGGTTAAAATAGTCTTTATTTCATTTAAATTTATTAATTAAATATCAAAAAGAATTTTAGGTTTTTCCACCATTTTGTGAAATTCTTAAAATTTTCATCACTTTAAAAATATTTAAGGAACCCACTCGTTCACTCGATTCTAAAAATTTGAAAATAAACATCCATTATTGATATCAAAACTCTTTATCTAGATCCTCTACCATTTAGGAGAGTTTAGAATAAGAATTTGTCATCCAAAACAATTTTTAAAAATCAACCATTTTTTGTTTTTGAAATTTTATTTGTAGACACTCTATTTTGTTCGAGGTCTAAATCAATTGGGTCCAGTATAGCTTCAAGACCAAAAGTCTAATCTATAAATTTAATTTCATTTTTTTTATAAATGTATTTATCATTTTTTTTGTATTTTATATTTGTCTTTATATTTACAATTATTTTTTATTTGTTTTATTTTATTCATTTATCTTTATTTCACCTCTATTTTTATGTATTGATTTAATCATTATTCTTACCTTTTTTAGTATATTGATTTAGGTGTTTTATTGTTATTGCTTATCTTTATATATAAAAATAATAATAAATAAAACCAAAAATTTTGAAGTTTGAAAATTTGGCTAATATTATCTCTCGGTGATAATTACCTCATTAGAAATAGTTTGAGATTAGGATTGCTTTGGTAATAATTCTTGGTTTTAAAAAAAATCTAATCCTGATTGAATTGAAAGTCTTATGATATTCCCCTATAAATAGTCTAGCATTCAATAACAGAAGGGGTGAACAATTACACAAAAATCGAAAAGCAATAAAATTAAGTGGAAGAGTTCTTAAGATTTTCTGAGATTTTTGTTTTAAAGTGTTGTTTTGGAGGTTTGAGTTTTATTTTAGTCTAATTCAAGTGAAATTGAAAGAAAAACACTTTTAGGGCATTTGAATTTGTTAAAATGAGTTTTTGGCATTTTTTTGGAAAAATATCTAGTTTTTGGTTGAATTTTTTAACAAAATTCAAGTTTTTTGGCTAAATTCCGATGAGATTTTCAATTTTTGTCAACAACCTTAGAATCCTGCAAACTTTTCGATTATCGAACCCATATTCCAACAAAGATTTTGACGACCATTTTCAATTTTCAACAATAACTCTAGAATCCGATGAATTATCTGATAGGCTTTGAAGATTTTGATGATTAGAATATAGAAAGAAATGAGAGAGTGGAAAGAGTTCTAGAGGACAGAGAGAAGAGTGAGGGAAAAAGGAATTCTAAGAAAAAAAAGAGAAAGTTTAGCTTTTATTCGAAATCTAAAATTGCATTGTTTTGAAAATCTTAATTCCTACAAGATCCACGTGTTTTGTCATTGACCCTACCCAACCCGTATATCCCAACCAAAAGCCCATTGCCTTTCAGTTATTAGTGAGCCGAGCCGCTAGACCATTGCAATAGAGAAAAGTCAAGCCATTTCTGCCAAGTTAAGTAAAGTCGAGCTAAGTTTAGGTATTTTTTATTTTGTTATTTGTCTTTAATAATTTTTTTTAAACTAAAAATGTAAATATTACTACTACTACTACTACTACTATTACTAGTTTAGGTATTTTTTATTTTTTATTTGTCTTTAATAATTTTTTTAAAACTAAAATTGTAAATAATAATAATAATAATAATACTTACCACCATGTTGGAAGGT